TTTTTTCATATCGTTTTAGTTCAAAATGGCGGGAGAACCGAGCAAATTTTTTTTCCGGATTATCTGGATACCAGATAAATGGTTCTCTACTGTATGCATGAAAAAAAGAGTTGCAGACTTAGCTCTCCGCAATTAAGTCTTGCTAAAGTCATTGGTACATGATTTGTTGAAATTGATCCATACTTCCGTTTCGACTTAAGACATCCTTGAAATTTTTTTTTTTTAAATATACGAAGACTAAACGAATAATTGATATCACGTTGCTAGTTTACGAGCTTGTTGCCAACCGTGGAAAAATACGCATTAAAAACTATAAAAACAGCAAGATACAATATCAATTCCAACTATCGAGAGTACGAGTTTCCCCACTCCTGAACGGACGTCACTCGATAACGACATGTGACGTCATTGCATTCAACTCCACACGAAAGAAGAGGAAGATTTCACCCGCCCCCAGTGTAAGGGGGCGGGTGAAATAGGAGTGTTTTTAGAGGTAACGTTGAAGAGGGGGGAAAATAAAGCATGTTCAGCTACGCTTCAGGCAGATGGTAGTTTGATAAGAGGGGATGGAATTCAAGCTGAAAGAAAAACTTACCTTCGCACTCGCGGAAAAATTAGGTAATTTTGAGTTTGGCCGTCGATCGCAGTAAAATTCGGGAGTTTTTCAAATCAATTCCGGAGGGCGGGAGAATAACTCAAAATTCGGGAGACTCCCGCAAAATGCGGGAGAGTTGGCACGTCTGCATGTTTCAGCATCATTTAGTCATTATCATTATTTCACTGTATACAATTTATAACATTATTAATTAAATTTTATATAAACATTCCCTTAATCATTTGAATCAATAAAAATTTCTAATGCGAAATATTTAAAGCAACATTTCATATATATTGTACTTTAAAAATAATGGAGGGATAAAAAGAAACAAAAATGACAAATCAGTTTCATATGAAAGAGTAAAACTAAGTTTTAGTACTAATGGCTCAATAAAGAACTACTTTTTTTTCATTTATTTAAACATACAGCTTAAAAATTAACAATTTCAGGGTTTGTAGAATTAGGATTTAAGTCTAACACTACTAGGGTCTTCCCAAAATTCTAGAAAAAAAATATCTTTTATCATTATTTGTCCTGATTTATAATTTAAATATTACATAGCAATCACCCCAGATTTTTTATTTTCAAAAATGACTTCCTCTTTTTTTTATTTTTAATTCAATGTTGCTTTAACCCTGTGCTCATTTTCTTCAGCTCTAACAATTTATGTACCATCAATCATTACTTGAGCCAATTGAATTTCAGCAAAACCTTGATTTTTTTAGCCATTCTTTTAATCTTTATTTGCTTCTACAAGCATCT